AATGCCCTGGAGGTAACGTCTTAACCAACTCAGAATCCACAGATTTCAGATTTTCGGTTGATGTGCCATGTTCCAAGACTTCGCCTTCGATCACCAGAGTGCTAGCGGGAGTGGCAAGTGAAGCAACCCTTAATTTGGATCACTTTTGGCATCTTAGTCTACTTTGCATCGCAATACACGCTGGTGGAATTGGGGATACACCTTGTCAAACCTAGTGTTAAATGTCGCCAAAATCGAACACATCTGTCTTCATGCTTTGTTCTTTGCCACTGCAGCACATCCAGTCGGCCAGCTGTCCACAAATGGTATGATGCCGCCAATGAGAAGGGATGCATGCAGAAGCCGGCCGATTCTATCCGGGCGACGTTGCTTTCAAGTTTGGGAAATAAGGCAAATCACCCTGTGTGCCGGAGGGATCAGGCGTGCTAAGAGTCAGTGAGGCGAGATTGACCAAGAGGCCGCAGTCGGCCAGCGGCCGGACGTCACCGTCGACGCTAGGAGCGGGCTTGATCCAGCCACGTCAGGCGCCTCCGGGGGCGAAGACTTCCATCGCAAGGGGACCAAAGGTTTTGGGGAATGCGGCAAGTCACGCCGCTCAAGGTGAAACTGCTCGGAGGTCCATTTTGCGAAATCCATTTGAACGGTTTGCCCAGAGCCGCCAGCTTCTTAAGGCACGACTCGACGATGTTGGCGCTCCAGGCGTCAATTTTGGCATGCGCGAACTTGTTGTCTCCCAGGACTTGGGTCACCGCCTCTCGTACCATTGTGTCCACCTCGGCATCATCTATCAGGTCGTCCTCGTTGAAAGAACGAGGCTTTCCGCAGCTGCGCACACCGATTGCAATCGATATGCGCCTTGCTGTGGCTCTCGCCTGATCCGCGAATTGCTCTTCCTGTGTGTTCTGCATGGGTGGATCCCGGATTTTTTGGTGCAATATTTCATACTTCAATATTAAAGAGTCGCAAAAACTGCTTTGCTTGGGCAGAAAAGGGACCTTAAGTTTATCTTCTTGTCTTCATTTGTGACCTTGCTTGGTTGAATCAATCTGCCTTGGCAGACGCACTGGACAAACGCTCTTGACTGGCATTGAGAGAGGCGAAGGGGCGCAAGGCTTCCATACGTGGAGCAATGCAGCGTTTGACCCGCGTGATAGATCCCGCTCCCAGTCACGTTTCACTTGCCAAGCGAACGTGCAGCTATTCGCCAATAGATTCAAGGTGCCTGCAAGCTTGGGAAATTGCTGTTGAAAGATCCGTGGGAGGCTGTTCTGTTCCGAGGGGACCAGTTGAACTATGAGTCGTTGGGCGTGCGTTGCGCGTTTTGGCCTGGCTCAGTGGCAACTGCTGCTTCGGCGTTGCAACTGGTGGCGCCCAATGCTCATGGCGATATCAGCACCTGTTTCAGGTCCCCCACGCCGGTCGTGTGGCTGCGGTCCTGTGTCGGGAACAGCCTGAACACAGTGGGTAATGCCCTGTTAGGATGTGAAACCACTCAGTGGCGCCTCTGTTTTGGTCTCCACAATCTCTGCAGCATGGCGATCAACTCACTTGGCTTGTGCGCAGCCATTTCATTTCAAAGTTAGCTAACAACCACTGCCTCAAGAGCGCATTGCCAAGCAATCCTTGGGCAATAATCATCCCACTTGCAAGGAAGCGCAGACTCACGCGACACAACACAGGCAAAATACGTGATTGCGTAACGCAATTAAGCAATTGCAATGTTGTGTGGCAGGTTCCCTCCAGTGGGCATCTGCCGGCACTAAGTCGACCCAGAAGGTGCAGCAGCTCGTCCACAGGCCCTCACCCAAGTCGCCTCGCGGAAAGAAGCTGTCGTCGCCGTTGCTGGGCGAGACGGCAGATAGGCAGGACCGCGCGTCTCACAGGCGTCCGGGCCAGGGGGCCTCGCACAGCGCCAGGGGCACGGAGGCGGGCACCACGCAGCAGGTGACGGTCTCCAGATGTCGTCCCGCCGTCAGGCAGCGGTTCTCAGCGTCCAACCGGCCCGGCACACCAATAGCCTTCGGCACCACTGCCGCCAGGAGCGGCGCCAGCACAGGAATCTCCAAGTCGCCTAAGGCCAGGTGGCCTTACGCCAAGCCGACCGCCCCAGGAGAGGCTCATCCCCCGTCCAGGCCAGTCACGCCGCACATCCAGTCTGTTACACGTCCCTTGGAGTCGGAGCGGGTAACGGGGCCGGGTCGGGCGGGCGGCGGGCGCCCTGAGGAGGCGGAGTCGGCCGCCTTTGCGCCGCAGTGGTGCAAACAGGTCTTGGAGTTGAGCGGTCAGCTGCTGGGCAGCGGACATCGCTCGGTCGTCGACGCCGATGGAGAGGGTCAGGCGAGCTCGGCGGAGCGGGGAGGAGAGGTGGGTGGCGGCGCTTGCGTGCAAGAGTGGCGCCTACTCTAGAAATTCCTCCTACAGAGCGAGTGCAGTGAAGTACAGTTGACTGCAAGCTAAAAGAGCAGATACATTGTAATAAGGTATGAAGTATTGCACTCACTTTGCCTGAAAGAGACTGGTGGGTGCGACTATCTGACAGTCATGGAGGATCGGCGACACTCCTGCAGTCCGAAAAAAGCGCCGAGGAGGTCCGTTCAAGCGGCCATTTGGCGTTTTCCTCGGGCATGGATGCCTCGTATCTTCCACTGAGACCACAGGCCTACAACCGCAATCGCTGGACAGCTGATGCATGCAGGAGACAATAGCATGCATGTATGCAAGCATTTATGCATGGTGGTGCACTGGCGTCAAATACCCACGGTGGTCTCGAGATTTGCACACACTCATGGAACTGCGTGTGTCTCTTTAACAAAGAATCAAGATCCTAGGGGTATAGCCGGAACAGACTGGAACGGAGCCCACCTCTCACAGTGTGGTTTCCAATGTGTTGGATTAAAGAAGTGCATTTAACGAAATACATGAGGAATTTCTCACTGAACCATTGGCCAAGAGTTGTTGCTGCTGTGGCCGCACTGCATGATTCCATTGGCCCCTAGATGCACACATCTAACTGAAAGGGGAATGTCCTCTCTCAATATACAGGATACGTCTTGTAGTTCCAACAGCGAAGAGGAGGTGGTGAGCGAGTTCATTTCCAACAAAGAAGGTGCCCATGCTCAATGCACATCAATAGGTTCGTGCATCTGCTGCTGCAACAGTTTTGTGCGTTTGCTGCTGCAATGTGGCCCAATTGATTTTCCTGAACGAGAAACACCATGAGATCTGCATCCATACTGATACTGGCTCTGCCATTCCACTATCAAGTTATTTCTGAAATAGTTCAGTCCACTGTCTGGATGCATAGGCCTGCATTTTCTACGGACCCTGTACTGCATTGGTTGCATTCGTCTTCTGGCAATTATTTGGACACAGGATTTGTCTCCGCATTGAGCGCCGTATAGCAGCCGTTTGGGCATCGCGAATGCCAGTGAGCATTGATGGAAAAATCACCATTTAGACACTGGCCTCTTCTCGTCCATCGCAATGCCATTCCCCATGCTTTGAACCATGCATACAGATGCTTGCTCAATGCTTGCAGGGTGTAGCCGAAGTTTGGGCTGTGATGAAGACAGCACTCCGACCACAGAGGACGTGCTCGCGCAGATCAATTGTCAATCTCAGAGATGCGCACTGGCATTTGGGATAGATCATGAGTGGATGGTGAGCCGGTGTAGCAACTTGCCTTTTGCTGAAGCCCTCGGTAGACCCTTAAAGAGGCATCAGAAATTCCATCCCCAGGCTCTTTGATTGCAACAAGCGGAAATGAAGGAAATTGCAGAAGCCAAATTTGGCTTTAAAGCTTCATATTGCCAAATCAAGGACGCTTCATAGGAATAGACGGCAGTAAGAAGAACATGCAGAAACACATATTTACGCGACTTGAGTAGCTGCAACTTTGCAACAGCTAGAAAATAGGGCAGTAAATAAACCAAGCACGTATGTTTGCAATGATACATGTTCCTCATGCGCCCGAAAACGAACGTACTTATTACGCAAACCACAAAGTTGTACAACGTTATATGTTTTCGCGTCTTACTCGCTCAGAAAATTTCTTCATGCGCGCCACTGGCAGTTACCAGCGCCAATGTCACGATATTTTTCTGCCCGCACCGCCTGAATTGACAACTTCCAATTCTCATCCATATAACTTCAGGCGTACACAGCGTTAAATCTGACACATCCTGCTTGGGGTGCTCGAGATTTCCGGAGCAATGGTCAAACCGGGGATGAAGCGTGCCCGCCATATTTTGCCGCCTCAATGTGAACGAGTTCTTTATCTGGTGCAGATTGAGGTGCTTCTTCCCGAGGCGCATGGAGCATGGGACGACTATTGGGGACATCAACCTCCGGGGCAGTCGCAGGGGACGGCCGCAGCTTCGAACTCGCTGCCAGTGCACTCTTTGTGAACGGGAACTGTGCGTCGACAACAGCGGCAGCAGGGTGTAGGGCTGGTAGTTTGTATTGGTTGAACGTAATACGGTTGTACAAAACCAAAATTGGATCGACGAATTGTATGCTGCACATGTTCTGCCAGCACAAGCCTGGGTTGGGTGCTCCCGGGCCGCATCTGGGCATTGACCCACCAGGGACATGCTCGAAAACTACTCCATGTCGAGCCCATGCATTGCCAGTTGCAACTGTGGCGACGGCGGCAGATGATCGCATGAAGCACGACGACACAAAGAAATGCTACAAATATGCCGAATTTCAGAACACCGGGCTGTCCTGCGTGCAGCTTGAAACCAATTGGCAACACCACACATGTTAAAAAGCCACAATAAATGAAACACATGTACAGCTGCTCCGAAATTACCCCATTTGTCCCGTCCATGCCCCCATTGCTCCTTCGCCAAATCGCCCCCGCGTTTTCTGCTTTCCCCAGCACACCCAGTCGCGCAAGCGGCGGAGATGCCGGACTCCAAATCTGCTTGCCCTGGCTTCGCGACGCAGAACCTCTCCTGCTGCAGCAGCCCATCCCCAAAAAACATCATGCAAATTGCTCATCCCCGGGGCACATGAAAGCTTTGCGGCGCCAGGAACTCCAGGTGCATTTCGCCTGCCGGGTCTCGGGCCAGCAAGGACTTCATGGCCCCTTTCTTGTTGGCGGCGCCCGCGCGATGTCCGCCTGGCCTAGACGCCGCTCCGCTCCAAGGCCGTCGCCAGGCTGACGTCTGGAAGTACTGCCAATGGGATCCAGGGGGGCCGGTCACCGGCGCCCTGTGCTCCGTGGCCTTCGCGCTTGGATCCTCACACCTGAAACAGGCCTTCGTGGTGGAAGTGCCAAGACCGCGGCCGGTGACCAACAGGCCAGATCCCGGTGGTCGCGACGTAGCCGGCGGTTGCTGGTCAGAATCAGCATACCCGCAGCCGTTCAACCCCGCCGGATGACGAGATCCCGAGGGATCCCTGCGAGGCTGGCAGGCGTGCGAGGAGGCTGATAACTGGTGCGCAGATTTCGGGCGCACAGGCAGACGACAACTCCGTTCTGCTGCGTTGGGTCTTGCTGACTGGGGCCGGCCACTGGGGCGATGGAGGTGTGCATTTGGCGAGATTTCCTGGATGTCGCTCCGCCCCTGCAGCTGCACGCCGCGCCCCACCACGCCGCTCCGCGCAGCCTCGTCGAGATCCAACTGAGAAGGGGGGCCTTGTTTACCACATGGGTTGCGATCGTGGCCGGCACTGAATGGCCTCTTGGGCAGCAGCCTTTGGTGGGACGGGCGCACAGTGGCGGAGAGTGGCCGCCGCCCGTGGGGTCCCTGCACTCGTGCAGCTGCACCGCCGTCGCCCCGCTGCCGCCAATGCGTGCCTTGGGGCCCAGAATACCAACCAGGGGGAAAAACGATTCGATTGCCAGCTGCACAAATACTTTCGCGCTCAAGGCTCCCGTTCTGAAGAAGACGGAGATTGGCATTCAATGTCTGCCCTCTGTCCTGGCACGCACCCCCTGTGCCTCCAGCGGGTCCTGGATGGGCTGGTTCGCTTGCGGACGAGACTTGCATCACAGGATGTGCCGATGTCGGCCTCCTGGATGCGCCCTGCATTCTCTGTCCCCGTGGTGTGTAAGGGGCCCCAGACTGCTCTGCGGCCACCCCATGCTCAGCAGACTGGATGGCAGATTCGCGCCCCCGAGAAGCTTGCATCACAGGATGGGCCGATACGGGCCTCCTGTCTCTGATCTGTACTTGATGGCCCTGTCGTGTGCGACGTACCGCAGACTGTCCTGCATCGGGTACTTTCACAGGTGACTGATCGGCTGGTTCCCCTGTGCAAGGGGCCTGCAGCACCGGATGTGCCGATGTCGGCCTCCCGGCCCTGCTCTGCCTTCGACGTTCTCTGCGTGTGTGCATGATATCCGACTGCCCTGCAGCCACCTCATGTGTTGCAGATTGGTTTGCCATACCGCATTCGACAGAACTCTGCAGAACGGGATGTGCCGACACAGGCCTCCTCACTCTATTGTGGCTTCGATGGTCTTGTAGTGTTTGAACGGCTTCAGACTCGCCCGGGATTGGGGCGTGCGCAGGTGCTTGGCTGGGAAATGACCCGCAAGAGCTGGGAACGGCACCGGCGCTCCGTGGGCGTCGCCTCTGCTTCTCGCACACATGGGAGCCCTTCAGCAATATATAGAATCGTCCATGGCACCGCTGTGCAATTGATGGCAAGCGTGGCGACATAACATGCACTAACGGAACCCTGCAACTACAGGGCATGTGAGCGTGCCCATAAACTGAGCGCAAGTGGAGACTGCATGGTGAAGAAATCGAACAGGCTTCCATTGTACGTTGCATAAACATTCGTCGATCTCACTGCAGTACGGATCAAACCGGAAAATGCCGTCTTGTAATCCAACATACGAGCGCTCCACACTGATGTGCGATGGCGGAAAAGCTTCACAGCGGTGCTGCATCAGTGCGTGGTGTTGCAGCCAACCCAGTTCGCTCACCATTGATCGATCTCCCATGAGCTCCCTGTGCTTCCGAACATCCGCTTCCAGCTTTCGTTTCTCTATTTCCAGCCGCTTGGACTTGGCCTCCAGCACCTTGCTGTAGCTCCTGCCCTCCTCGAGGTCCTTCTTCACTATCCGGAGCTGCGTGGAAAGCCTGTCGGTGAGGGCACTCAATTGTTGGAAGGTGTACCGCACCCTGCCCTTCATGTCCACCCTGTCGGGAAAGTAGCGGCGCCATACGTTGTTGGCCACCTTTTGGAGGTCAATGAAGTGCTGGCTCGACAGCAGAGGGCACTGCTGGATCAGTATCTCCTGTGCAGCACAGAACCGCACACGACGGCCCGTCAACGCGCAGGAACTTCATCGAAGGTCAGACAACAAATTACGGACGCGATGGCTGCATTTTGCGGCAAACACAGTCAAAACAGTTTTGCAGCTTTGCACTGCACAAGAAGTCAATGGAACGAGGGCTCAATTGCCACAGGAATTTATATCGAACTGCAGATGCACTGCCACCCTGGCAGTCATTAGCCTGTGCACACTCATTTATCTCTCAGCTGCAGCATGGTCCCCGATGGCCTGCACTTGATTTCCGACGCCATAGGCCTCATAGCCCTCTTACCCAGCAAGGACAGGTTCACTTACCTGAACCGTCCGTCAGGTTGCTGGTGCTGCGACAGCCTTTTGCATCATGCTCATGTTCGTGCGTCCCAGACCTTCTCACGAACTTCCAGCACGAGACTCGTGCACTCATTTTCAGGAGTTAATGCTTTCACGAAAGCGTTATCGCTTCACGAAAGGCTCATTCATGAGAATGAACGGCGATGAATGAACATTTATGCATCATTGACCAACGTCGAAAGCCTTGCACACCCAAGTACCAAGTCTTCTTGCCGACAACCGCCACGAACCTGGACCGTGGTCACCATTGCCAGCGGGTCCTTGACTTCGATCTCCTTCCCGTTTACGACTTTGGCGAGCTTGGCGGACCTCATGCACAGCGACCATAGGTCCAGCACGGCCGTCTGCAGCTCCACCAGCTGCCGCTGGCGCGCCTCCAGCTTGCCAATGACGCTCGACTGGCCGTCCAGAGCGTTCGCCAGGCTATCGTTCCGCCGCTGCAGCTGCGACACGCTGCGGTTGTGCTCGCCGCGCAGGCGGTCCACGCAGTTGTCCGTCTGGCGCTGCAGGCCGTCAATCTGGGCGCGCAGCTGCCGGTTGTCTTCCTGAGCCTGGCCTGAACACGTGAAGAGGGCTGCCGTCAGGCATCGCCGGCAAGGGGGTTAGGATTTGTTACAAAGAGAAAAAGAAGCATGCCATGCAGAAGGCACCCCTCGCAAGTGTATGTGAGGCTCTTTTACATGCTATCAACAATTGTACAGAGCCTTTGCAGGGGGAGGGGGGGGTCCAACGTCCAGGGCGAGCACCAATGGGCGATTCCAGGCACACGGTTTCTCGCAACAAGGGACGATCGAGGACTGCGCCAATCGCTGGGAGGAGCGCCGGAGGCAAATATGCGAGGGAATGCAAACCTGGGCGTACCAACCAATTAATGGGCCTGGCGGCGCTGCTTTTGGAAACCGAATGCAAGACAGCGAATCCTTTCCCATGCGCTGCGCCTGCTTTCGGAAGACACAGGGAGTTCTTGTGCCTTGCAGGCGACGGCGGAAAGGCAGAAGGGGCGCCTCCGCGCGGCGCTGTGTACCCTGAGCAGCAGGTCCATAGTGCCCAGCTTGTCATTCTCCAGGAACTCCAGGCGGTCGACGACTTCCTCGGGGTTCTTGAACACGAACTTCTCCGCAAGGCGGTCGAACACGGGCTCTAGGCGAGCGTGAAGCTGCAGCCGCCGCTGGTGCTCGATTTCTCTCTGGGTCTGGGCGTGGAGGCGCCCGCGCAGCAGCTCCACCGTCGCCCGTAGGGCCTGCGATGACAATCAAAGTCGTCGCTCAAATCGCCACCGCGATTTGCGAACAGTAGTGCAAAGCGCGCAACAACTGAATGTCCAGTCCAAGTGAATTTTCGCTTGTCTGCGTTGACACAATTTCCTGCATTGTCCTTAGCGAGGTTTGGCTAAAAAATGGTCCCGTCTTAGATCTGCGCGTCCAGCGGGTTATCATTTTGCAACCTTTTCGGTTTCAAGTCGATTGGAGACCTCCTCCCACGCTGCACGGCAGTCCTCCTTCATTGCTGCCATCTCGCGCCGGATCTGGGTGACATCTGCATCCAGAGTCCGCCTGCAAGCGCCACCACAGCTGAAATTGGTGAGCGCACAGCACTGATGGCTTCCGCCCAACGCGTGAATACACATCAAAAGGACAATCGACAGGTATTCGAGTGCAGAAAATATGTTGCGCAGGTAGAACACGGCACTTTTAGGACGGCGCCTAGGAATTTTGGGAGGGGCAGGTCGCCCACTGAGCGGTCACAAAACAGTATCACTGAGTATTAATTTTCGTACCCATTTGTCAAAAAGTGTGTGGCGGTTGCATTGCATGGTAAGATGATAAAAAATTTGCGTCATTACTTTCGTGACGCAGGTTGTAACACAACAGAAAAATTGTCCCTGTGGTACACTCAGTGGGGGTGGCACCACCTGCCATCAGGATCGGCCGAGCTGGGTCGCCTTGGCAGTTGATGCCTGGCTCCGGACCTCGATTCCCCTGGCGATGCAGACTGTGGTCTTGGAAACTGAGATGCCATCGGCCCACCTCGATCGTTCGTGATCCTGTTTCGATTGTATTCTTCGGCGCTGTCCTCGTTCTTGAGATGGTTGGCGATCTGCATGGCACAAAGGACGTCCAGATATGAGCGGAGGTGACCGCATCGCGGAGATTTCACGCAAACTGGAGTGTGGGAGGGTCTGGTGAGCTTCGCTTGGAATTTTTGCTTCGCTGGACATCGAATTCCGGCCAAGTTCAAGAGATGCCTCTACAACTGATGATGATTCATATAACAGTATTTTACGACATATTTGTGCTGAATGAGTTCCCTGTCATGCAGCCTTTATAATATCCTCCAATATTTTGCATTTCCTACGGCTACGAATCAACAGTCCTTTCAACTTCATTTACCGGCAGTTGGGCGCCGTCAAAAGCCCTTGGCTTAAAAACTATAAAGCAAAATTTTGTCAATGATCCTCAGACACGGAAGAGGAGCACAAGAGACATCCCGATTCTTACAATCCCTGTCGAGCAACTCACAGCTATTCTGCCTCTTTCTCTTGAAATCCACAGAGTCTCTTTCGCTGATTTGGGCGTTTGCCTCATCTCCCCGCCTCCACCTCCCTGCCTGATGACCGCGCTCTCCGCAAGTCTCAGCTTGGCTTGCGCGGCCAAAACGGCACACTCCCTCTCAAGCCTCTGCAATCTCTTGTTCCTCTGACACATGAACAGTCCTCAGCCGTCACTGAAGCACAATGGTCTAATGAACACTGTTGATGCGACAATACACGTTACCGGTCTGAGGTTTGGCACATCATGATTGAATCATTTTTGGCACTGTACCTCATTTGAAGCACAAATGGCAAATGTGGCATATGAGGATGGGAATGGGGTGGTTGGTCAGAGGCATGTATCGTATCGCCTATGCACCGAATATCATATTTATATCCTACACGAGACCATAGGTGGTCCTCAGGCTACTCAGCTGATGAGCTTCCATCCCCGGCAGGTATTTGAAGTGAAAATGAACAGAATTCCAGGTGAGGTATGTCTTTGGAATTCCCTGAAACGAGTGGATGTGAGGAAGCGCCCTTACGGGTTTGGTTCCTTTCGACTTGCTGTCATTCGTCGCAATGTCGCCAAGTGCATCGCGAGCCCACCTGCACATGCAGAGCAGACGCAATGAAAACAGCCGCAAACCAAAAAGTTGATGCACCTTACATTGCCGCGTATTTGGGACGGTACTCCCTGGGCACAGACATTTGAAACAGGCTACGGGATTATCGCTGATCGCTTGTCGGCTCATAATGGAATTTCGACCACGCATGTGAGGTACATGAGAGCAGTCACTTACATGAGCGCCATGCTTTTTGCTTAATTACGATTCTAAAACAATTGAAGTCACCTGCTGCTTGCACTGCGAACACAGCAGCAGGGGCATATTTCCGTAGAGCATAAGGATATCGCAACAGGGGCTTTTAGCGGCTTACTCGTCCCATAACTGCAGAGCCGCTGCGCTTCTTGCGTCTTTGGCATCCGCCGTTGTGCGACCGCCAGAAAGCGACATTGTTTGTGATGATTGCCTCATATCTGCTGAGAAGCCACGCTGATTTGAGCTCCTTGTGCGGCCCATCATCCCGCCCCTAAATTTCAAGCCGGGAGTGGCAAGCGATTGAAGGCGATAATGGGGCTTGATTCTGATGATGTGTGCTCTCCGTTTGCAATTTCCCTGAAGCGGGGAATATTCCTTGATGGTCCCAGTTTGGCGCCGCCCTGAACAGCAACGTGCGTAGTTGAAAATTAGGAAAACCCATTTATCCCACCAACTGAATTGGTGAATAGCAATATCTCTACTGCTCAACTGCGAGTACTATTTTAAAGCAAGGCCTTCAATGGCACCAATGAAAAGATGCTCAACAGCGTGTTTCATGGCAAGATCCATGAGATACGCCACACCTCTTGTGCGCCAGAGCTGGAGAACTGGCTGCAGAGCTGCTCACTACTGTAGGCATTGTGCAAATCCGTCATTGACATATGAATCACCATGAACAAAAGCAGCCTGCTGTCAAGAAACTGGAAGATGAGCTGACCAGAAGAGCATTGCAATGCGATGCATATATGCACTCAAGCTCATTGCCACATCATCTTTTGATCGATCGACCGAAGCCACATGGCATCTTGGGGTGCAGCGCTGCGACATTGCACCGGTGCTGATAATCCAGCTTGGGGCTTTAAAATGCAGTTGCCTTCCATATGTCTGAATTCCAAAAAGATAGAACTTGGGTTCTCATTGCATACTCTTCGCACTCTTTCTCTCTTGAGCAAGCAGCTTTGGGTACGTCCTACCCAATGCATGCATCAGGTTGAGCACTATTTGGAACAGGGAGGCGGAACGCGAAACAACAATTTGGACATCATCGCGGATAGCGCCTCTTGCCGTGGTCTCGGCCTTTTCCCCAAACGCGGAACTATGCAGCTACGGTCGAGCAGAAATCTGTTTTGCAGGTCAACGGGTTGATTCGCCGACAATCGCCGAGCTCTCAATCGCAAAACCCGCATCTTTTCGCTCCCCCACTGCACCCCCTCGGCCTAATATTCACTCTTACAGGCGTGCGAGGCACCTCGTCATAGAGGGCCCCCTGAAGCCGTCTTCCCCATCCGGGCCTCAGTTCACCCGTCAGTTGGTGAAGAAACCCAGGACGCGTTAAAAACTGCGTCCCCGGAGAGCGTAGTCCCTTGAGGCCCAGGTCTGATTCCCGGGAAGTATGCACGTTGCAGGAAGATGCCTGGGCTTGGATTGAGAAGGCTATCGTGTGTGCCGACGCGTCTCAAGAGCGGCGTCTGTTGACCACGTGGATACCGGTCAACCATACCGTTTGAATTCAGGGAACGCGAGGAAGGTCGTATAGCTTTAGCAAAGGAAGGCAGCATGAATGGGCACGCGGCAGCGCGCTTCGAAATTTGCCTTGGGAGGCGATCACAGCGCAGACAAGCGCAAACTCATTTCAAGCGAATTTTTGCCCTGACAGCATTAGTAACGATGGACTGCTGGGCATGAGACTGGTTGAAGGGGCCTCGGCGACAATCAATTCCAGAATTTTCAAGGCGATTGTGTCCTTCAGGTCATTTTGCTCCAGATCTGGAGCAAAATGACCTGAAGGACACAATCGCCTTGAAAATTCTGGAATTGATTGTCTCTAGAGACGAGATCCATTTTCCATTGCACTGCCAGGCCTATGATAGCATCCGCCGAAGCCACTCAAGTCTTTTGCGATCTCGCAACACAAAGGCACTTTTGCTCCAGTTCCTGCTCGCCAATTGGTGAAAACACTATTTTGTATTATCATCGACAATCGCTTCTTGGCATTAGGAGCTCGTAGATCCATCGACTTTGTGTTGTGTTACATCAGGTTTCAATGAACTGATCACAGGCATCAATTTGCTAGGGCAAAATAGGAAGCTGACATCTACCTCATTGCCTTGTTCTGTAAAAAATGATGATAATGATGCTGATGACGATGATGATGAGGCCTTCAACCACCGTCTTTCGTTAAAGATTGCCGCCAATCGTGGGTCTGACAACTGCTGAATGGGGCAGCCTGAATTGCACAGTGTAACGAACTGAGCACTCGATTGACAGGACGTACATTTCAGACACACTTACAACCCACAGCCAACAAAACAAGCAGACCTGGCCCGGTTGGTGAATACTGTGGAATTCCCTGTGCGGGACTGCTGGCCCACGACCGTCGAGAGCCAACAGGTGGTGCGAACTCGTACGCTGCTTGTTCGACAGGCGCTGGCAGTTTCACCGTGCTGGAGTTGCAACGTCCCCTTTGAAGGAGAACGCTGTGGCCACTTCAACCGACGTGTGAAAAGCAGCAGATGCACCGAACGCCGGGGTGCTTCATAGCTCGCAAGGATCCACTCTTTTGAACTAGCTTCGAAACAACTGCGTTACCTCCCGGGCTTTGAGACGAGGACGTTGAGACGCGCGCTGGCTCGCTGTTTAAACCATCGGCCTTTGATCCAGCAGCGAGTCAGCGATTCCGCGAATCAGCGAAGTATCTCGGTGACGCCTGCTCTGCGGGAACGGCCCTCTATCTAAACCTGGACTGTTCTTCGCGCAAAAGGCCTTGCCGTGGGGAGCTCCCCACTCGAGTGGGTCGGCAGGCGCCAATTTCACGTCGGAGAGCTTGAACGGCGATGAACCGTCGAGGGGCCACAGTGCGGACATGCGCCAGCCGTGGCGTCAAATCTCTGGCGTTGAATCTCCCTTGAGGGGGACGGCGACTGGATACAGGCGCGTTTCGGATCCCCACCATCCCCGACGCCCCCTGCCTACGAAATGTCCGTCCGCACAGGCGGTCTTTGGCCGCTGGGGGTGGCCTGGGGACAGGTGAGGATGCTTCAAGCCACTGGAGACCGGCGTGGAGGTGCACTTTGGAAGGGTTCCTTACTGCGTGCGCGGCCGTGTGGCACTGGTCCGGGCGTACGGGCAGCCTAGCCGAGACCGTTGATTGAAGGGCACCAAGCACTGATGTTGGGGTGGTTGTCGGCTGAGCCAAGGCCGTCAGATGCCCCGCCACCGCCCGCAACCCCACGCCCGCTGTACCTGCGGCGAACCGTTGCGGTACCGCCTGTACCTTCGCAACGCCGGGAAACGGGGTGAGGGCGGCCGTCAAACCGTACGAGATGCCGGAACTGTACCGCCTCCTGTACAGCGGGCCGGCTGACTAATCTTCCCGGGCCCCTTTTGATGGGCGCCGTTTCGGAATGGGCCGGGGTACGAGACCCCTGCGGCTTCCAAGAGCCGCACGGTTACGAGCTTCCCTCCCCGGCCCCGGTGTCCGTCTGAGCGGGCACCCTCACCGCTCCGGCGAGTCCCCTTGTGAGCGCCGGGAATCAGTCGACGTCCTTAGCCCCCTGACAAAACCTTGGGAACGGGCCGGCCCGGGCGCGTTATGCCCCTGACCGCACCCACCGCCCCCACGCCCACAGTTCAGGCAGTCAGTCGCCCCGCCGCCCCAACAGCGCGCGCCTTCCGCGCCCACCCCGCCCCCCCTTCTCCAGGCGCCACCGGCGGCATCGCGCGGCATTCCGTCACCGTCCAGGCGCACGGGGCGGCTAGATCGGCTTCCTGCGGAGGGCCAACGGCAGTGGGAGGGCGGAAAGGGGGCGCCCACGAGCCAAAGGGCAGGGGTCGAGCGGCAGGCGCTCGAGAGCGGGTTTAGTCAGAGGGGGGGCTCACTGCCGCGGGCGGCGCCGTCGGTCCTAAGGGAACACGCTGGCGGAGCGGAGCGGCCGCGAGGGCGAGGCGGTGGGAACAGGCGGCGAGGAGGGCGTCGGGCGGGGCGGCGCGGACGGGCGCCGGGCGTTCGGCGAGGGGCGCGGGCTGGCTGATCTGCGGGCCCTCGGATACAGGGGGGGCGACATGGACAGGTGGGGGGCCTTCTGTGTGTGTGTGGGTGGGGGGCGAGCTGCGTCGCCCAGCGTTAGGTCGTCGCAGCGCAGCTGGATCGTCGTGCCATCGGCCGCCGGAAGCCTCTGGTTGATGGCGCCCGCGCGTGGGGCGGCGATGGGTCTCGGGTCCATCGAGTGGCTGACCGGGCGCAGGGTGGCTGGCAGGGTGACGGCCGGCCCGGGCGGCGTGGCGCCCCACCTCATATCTCCGGAAGTGGACATGACCGGCTTCTCGGAGGACGACCTGCGCTTCCTGGTGCTCCGCTCCAGGCTGCACTCGGGCGAGATGCCGATGCAGGTGCGGCGCGTGCCGAGGCGGCTTGGGAAGGGAAGCAGGACGTGTTCCTGCCCCCGTCGATGGCTCCGACGGTTGATGGGCCCGTCGGAGCGCCGGGCGACGCCCGCGGACGTCCGCGGATGCATCGCGATGCATGGCCTGGATCCACGATCCCTCCTTGGCGATTGCCCGACTCGTGCCGTCCCTCCAGGTGCGGCGAATCGGGTGTCCGCCTGTCGCGAGGGGCGCTTTGTCGCGTCATAGTTGCTGAGCGGCGTGTGCCGTTGATGCAGGGGGGCCAGGGCCTGCTGGCTGCCGAGCACGCCGGCCTGAGCCGCCCCTCGCCCCAGCTGGCGTCCGGCATCCCCGGCACGGTGGGCGTCGCGGCGCCCGGGGCGGGCTTGATGGGCCCCCAGGGGCACCCCAGCGCGGGGCCCCTGCTGCTGGGCACCGGCGGGATGCAGGGCCAGCAGGCCGCGCAGACGCTGGCGGTGTCCTCCAACCTGCTGTTCGACAACTACAAGGCCCTGTCGGGTGGGTTTGATTGGCGCGGAGTCGACGCACAACGCTGGCGCCGGTCAACCGCGTTGGCAGCCTGGACGGCTGATGGTGATGCCTCCAATGCAGCGCGCTGTGCGGATGAACGTGGCTATTGTTGGGCACCACTTCCTCCTTGTGAGAGGAGGTGGGGTGGGGTGGGGGTGATTTGTGTCCACCACTTTCAGCGAGGCCGGCTTGCTGGGTTCCGTAGACGAAATCTGTTCAGGTTGCCGCGAGCCTGTCTTGTTGCTCCAAAGGGTTTGAAAGGGCAGCAGCACATGGTCGACAACAGCGTGTTTGGCTGGTTGAGATGGGGGCCTTGCGGTGCTGATGGGTTTGCGCTTGGTGTGGCAGGCGTTCTGGGTGGCGGTGATCCATTGAAAAGAGGACTTTTGCAGCAAGCAGGAACCGTTGAACACACGCCACCTGGAGGAGTAGGCTCGCCAGACAGCCCTGACCTTCAGGTACATGGTTGACCAGATTTGCTGGAGATCAGATGACCTGCCATGACCGCCTTGCATGTGTGCAAACAGTTGCACCTATGTTGCACCATGAGAGCCTCTTGGTGTTGCCATGGTGTGCAATACTTTGCTGTGCATCCTCACCTTTCTTCACGTTATATCATCCCCTGAGCAGCCAGACCCTTTATTGCAAAGTGCACTTGCATAAAATCAATTATTGGTGTGTTTTGGCCAGGCACCAAACTCGGAGGAACAGATCCTTCGAACACAAAAGAAGAGGGAAAAGAACCGAATTGCCCAGCAGAGGTTCAGGCTGCGGCAGAAGGTGCGCCTGCAGTGGAACAGCAGTTTGGCTGGCACCATACTCTGGACGGATGTTTACCTTCTGTGACCATTGTCTAGCCTGTGCAACATTCAGTGCACCTGAGTACCACTATCCTCTCGGTGCTGGCTGGGACGTGCTGATAAGTTTTTGCTGTGCTGTGGAACAGCAACTGGTGTCCGATCTGCAGGACGAGCTGTCGAAGAAGTCCAGGGAGATTGATGACCTACGGCAGACCAGAAGCCAGGTTGAGGAGGAGAACAAGGTGGGAAAGACAGGCTCCAGGCTGCCCGTGGAGTACTTGCCAAGTTTGAATTTTGAGTATAAAGAGTATGCTTACCAATGCATGTTATGCATACGGATTAAGTATGAGCAACAAAAGGCGATGTGGGAGACGATGAGTGCATCTGCAGATTCATGCTGCACGGTGAGCTGTCAGGTGCCGATGTTGCATTCTAGTATGCTGTTGTTGCACAACACTTGCACAGAATTGGCACCATGTACTGGCCGAGCACTATACTGCATATTAAAAAATAGTCATCCCCTGTTTCACGTCGTTGTAAGGGTCGGTACTCTATTGTGACACTGACAGAGAGCTCTGTGCTGCACACTGTAGCACAGTTCGCTGATGCTCTCAGCATCTGCCTCATCATGTCTTGTTGTGCAAAACGAAATCCCAAGAATAGTGCTCAGGAGGGGTGCACCCACTGCATGGCACGTTTTTCCCCCTAATAGCATTCAGGGTTACTCGAAGTGTGGCAACGATGTGCTGACTCCAGTGCCCCCATTTCTGCAGGTATTGAGGAAGGCCCTGGAACAGATGGATGTCGATGTTGAAAAGGTGCTGCAGTACACTGAGAGTCCGCAGCCTCAGTTGGAAGACCTGCCATCAGTTGCACCTGCCATTAAGCAGGAGGATGACAGCTCTCAGTCTAAAGGGTGAGTGCAGCCTGATTGCATTCAGGCCACAACAAAATATTCAAGCAGCATTCAGGGTCTGTGATGTGAGCATCCAGATCGCGAGGCTGGGGGCACACTGTGCACTGCACAGGTGCAGCTGATGTTTGCTGCTCACCACAAGACAATGTTGCCATGACCATTTTCATGGCGGTTTTGTGTGTTGGCCATCATGATTGTCAGTAGCGCACTGGCTTTCTGATCGGTGACCTGGCAGAATCTCGATCTTGAGTGCCATACCTGCATAACTGACGAATGACAGTTGGGGCCTTTGATTGTGTTGGATTGATTGGGGAGTGCTTGAGATTGTGCGGTCGATTGCTCTGATGAGTGCCTGCTGGGAACATACAATGATTGTGTGGGGCTATTTTCGTTCCTGGCAAGGGCCAAGCGATGACTGCCATGGGGAGTTGGTAGAACTGCCCCACACTGAGACGGTGGATCACAACTGGAAAGGCATTATTTGTTGAAGGCGCATGCCTGTGTCTCATTGCTGTCCAGAAAGTTTTCTTGTGCTTGGGTTTCTGGAGATGACAGCTAAAGATGCAGACTCGTGATTATCTGTCTGCTTTGCTGCCTCCCAGTCTTGTAGCTTTCTTTATCACTGGTGAAAATGGCGCAGAATGCAAAGTTCGAATTGTATGCTACATCGTACACATCACGACTGGTCATTGTTGCAAATGGTGTGCTATGTTTACGCTGGCTGTTTAGTAATTCGGCACTGTCTGAGTAACAGGGATAGAGAATGTGGAGTGTGCAGGTGTATGTGTGTCCTTTCATTCTTGACATGCCTTGTGGGAGATTACTTGGCCCTCTGGACCAGTGGCATGAAATTTTGTTCACTGCTACACTTGTGATAGAGACCAGCAACACCTATGACGACAGCAACAACTGTTATGTGTGTGTTCGTTTGGCAGGGATGACTCCATGAGCAGGGATCCCATTGATGCACTGGAACCTGTCAACAGCCCTGAACTTTTGTGACGCCTCCTGCATCACACCTGTCCCATGCCTGACCTTAATTCTTCCATATCTTCCGCTGGACAAGTCCTAGAATTCTGGAAATCTGGTAGTTCATGCCTTGGGCACCGTGGGTCTTCCCATGGCGACTTCCCTGGGGTTGCCAAGAATAAAGCTCATGGTGTGGGACACACGGGATCATAGCTTACAGCGGGTGCTGTTTCTGGTGATCGCTGGCAAGCTCTTTGGGGAATTGTGTTTCTGTTGGGTTGTATTTTAGCCGAGTTTTGACTGTTGGATTTCCATGGGGAACTGCTGGAGGGTTTGTTTTCTGCTAGCTCTCAACCCTGCCCAACCAGGAGGCTGTGGAAAATGCACTGGGGGTTGTAGAATATCGGGGTCGAGAGAACCCACTCCTTGAACTTTGAGTGGGGGAGTCCAGTAATTGTCCTAGAGACATAGCCCAACTCTGCATGGATGGATGGCGTCAAGCTGTGGATATACAAAAGTGGCTGTGTTCGTGGTAAGCCCGAGTTGTTTGGAGCAGGAATAGGTGGCATCGTCAGAGGGCTTTTGTTTGCCCCTTCCTGATTGTGAGGACTCACTGTATTGGGATCCTTACCCTGGGGAGCACCCTCAACGTGCGGTTGGCTTGCCGTTGCTGTGGCGCTGGCCTCTGTGCTGCGTCGTTGATCCTACCAAGTCATTTCACCAGGGCGGCAGCAGAGTGGGATGGTCTTGTGTCTCGAATGCCCTTGACGCACAGTTGTCAAGGCACGAATAGGCATTGGTGCTGGAGGTGCATGACACACATGTGGACCATCAGTCAGGGATATGTGCTGACAGAGGTGCTCGGAAGAGCTGTGGAGGCCGGATATTGGCAACATGTTGTGCTTCCTGCTGAGATTCTGTCGTAGCGTTGTGCAGAGATGCACCCCATTGTTGGAGGCTTTTTCCCTGGATGCTGGGATACACCCAGTTGGAGAGTTGAGAGCGAACTGAAACTCAAGAAGTTGAACCCTCGACTGAGTAGTGAAAACCAACGGTAGTTTTGCAAGGTGCGAGGTAGCATTCTCATTTCACGATTGGACACATCCCATTAATTGCTTTACTGTTCGTATCGTTCCATGTTGATTTTTTCAGTTGAAAATCATGGGCGTTTCGCCACAGCCTGGCTTTATTTCATGTCAGAATATTTAATTTTAGCGGGTTCATGGCACCGAAGGGCCCAGAGGGCAACTGTGTGCCGTGTCGTCATCAGATGAGTTGCGTTGATAGCGCCTAGTGTTTTGGCTGGGACAAAGAGGGCAAGACGGGAAACAGAATGCGTTTTTTAATGCAGTGTTCCTGCCTTTACGCAATAAGGCATATGTTCCATAGGGCCAGCCTGTTGGCTTTCTAGCCATCTCTTCCCCGCGTGGATGGAGTGACAGCATAGTCTCTGGCATATAGAACACAGCCTCTTTTGGAGTGTGATGCCAAGTTGCTTGGCAAGCGGCTCGACCAATGTGGCGATCAGCTGCGCAACGGGGGAATTTCGTGTTTCAGCCACTGGTGTCCGAGATAATGGTGGTGTGATGCAATGCCATAGGTGAGGCGGTGGGTTGGGCGTCTCGCAACTTAGTTCAGAGGCGCTCCCCCAGGTGGCTTGTGGTGGCAAAAATGATTAATTGAGTTGCAAAACAGAAGCGCTCAAACTGTGTGGTAAAATAACAGTTGTTGATAAATTTTGCCGCTGTCACAGGGTGCGGTGTGTCCTCAGTTGCATTGGTTTATTTAGGAAACTGAGTCGATTGCCCTTGTTGAGCTGTGGCAGCTGCGCATGGCCAGGCACCAGGGGAAGGGCGTTGAAATGCAGGGTGCCCTGGGGTATCGCGCTGGGAGCTGTGATCAAGACGTCTGCACCAACTTGCATCGCTTGATGGTCACAACTTGGCGCGTTGCTTATGGAGTTGATGACGTTGATGGGTCCATCTCAATTCCAATATCAGAGCTGCTTTGACCACCATGCAGATGTCGAGTATCTGTGGCAGAAGACGTTGTGTACAGTGGCGCACACGTTCGCTCGTCTTCATGAGACAAGGGGTGGCTCGCGTTGGCCGGAAGACCATTGCTGAAGATGCCACCTGCTCCGGAAAGAAATGTGCGTCTCCCATGCGGGGCAATAGTGTGTGCTGCATGAATAGAGCTAGATAGCCGGGTAATCTAGTTTAGTCATGTGCTGGGATAGATGGTAGTGTGGTGGGCTTGGCATCAAAGGCGGAATTGCTCCTCAATGCGGCTTCTCATTGGCACGGGTGTGGGGCCTTCGGGCGAGAGCAGTGTGCGGAACTGATTTACATTGAAGCTGCTCGAAAGCGCCTCAACTCGCATTGGACAATGGAGATTAGTGGCCACAGTTTCTTTGCGGCTTAAAATAAACGCCATTAGTCATGAGCGTTTCGACGGATTTGCGATTCCGCTTGGACCACAGGACGGGTCTGTAATCCCTGCGTTGGGACATGGGGTCCAGTGAGCGGTGCAGCTGCAACAAGTGAACGAGGTGCTGCGCGCCATGGCCTGCCGGTCAGCCGGTTTGTGACGAGCGACCAGCTGCTTGGCGCCCAACGCACGCTTGGGGTGACTGTGTTGGGGCGGCATGGATGGGTACATTCATCCTGGATGGGTGCATTCATCGCGGTTGGGCGCAGGGGACCTGTGCAGAATCGCCCTGCTCACAAGTTGCGCTTCCCACAGTCGCACTTCACGGAAGATCCCCACCCCCAAGATGGCGCTCAGCTGCGTGAAGATCTATTTGCAAGGAAGCCGTGCACCCATTCTTCGTGGTGTTTGGTGACGGACTTTATAGCAACAAGGGGGCGTCGGGGTCTGTTCATGGGATCAGCTCGCACAACTTCCGCACATCATCCCATCCTTGAACACAAGGCGTTCTTCAATCAAGGGCGCTCTTCTCGGCAGTGTGAAACGGACTGAAGGGCCACAACCACATCGGCAGCATGCCTTGCGCGAAGCAGAATAAGGGAACAGAAGCTGCTTCGTACCAATGGCGCTGCACGAATTGCCCCAAGATTGGCGATGCACCAATGAGCTGCTTATGGCATGGAAATTGTTGGTGCATCAATTCTAAATCGCAAAGCACATGCGCCCATAGGAACAGGTGTATCTGCTCTGATAAGGCGGTTCTGACGTCATGTCAGACCACCTGGAGTGCACACGTGACAAAGTCGTCGAGTTCACCCTTCACACGCTTGGCTCAATCAGTCGAGTGCCGCAGAGTATTTCTGCACTCGGTGCTCACGACTCCGCATCGATCGGCTGGTCACCAAGACATTTTGGAGCACGACCCTCACACAGAATGCAACGATTTGGGCAGGCAATCCGACGATGGGCACCACAGCGAAGGTCACCGCTGGATCCACAATTAAAAACCGGCAGGAAGGCTCGCTGGGAGGCTGGACATGCAAAACGCACGCAAATGTCCAGCTGCAATCGGCCGCCATGTACGACGACTCGGTGCACGATGATCACGCCTCGATCACCGCCAGACTAAACGACTAGCCTCAACCCTTTGGGAGGATCCCTTGGGTCTTTCGCTGACTGAAACTCGCAGCCAAAGAGTCGTTGCAGCTGTTCAGCACCACCTCTTGGTGCACACACCAGAACCCATGCGTTTTCCCGCCAACCTCGATTGAGGCAGCTCCCAAACACCCACCGGGCTTAAAATAACAGACGTGTCCAATTGGACATGTTGCAACATTGGGCCTTGTTGAAACATCCACCAGATCACTCCATGTCACTTCAAATCTTTCAAACATATACCATACATGTCTCTAGGCTACTGCCAATGCACTCTTGTAACGCATTACATCTCATATTTGCTAATCATCACCTCACATTTTTTCAAAGCCAGCGCCATTGCCGACTGATTGTTCATAATGCTCATAGCCATTTCATATCGGTGAATATTTCTTTTTGCGACAGTGGACTGTTCTTTTTTGCGACAGTGCCTAACTACTCTTTTTTGCGACAGTGGATTGTTCGTTTTTGCGACAGTGCCCGGGACTGTTCGTTTTTGCGACAGTGGCCCAGTTGTTCTTTTTTGCGACAGTGGCCGTGACTAAAGTGTGGCTTCGGTAGCCACGCGCCAGGAACCAGCCGACCCGGCCAACCCCAACCTCAGCGCTGGGCAACCCGGTCCACTGGACTGGGACCCCTTTCCCTGTCGGCAGCCAGCGTCGGGCACGGGGAGGCCGACGACGGGGTCCACGCACAGTCCGCAGCCCCAGTTGCATTTCGAGTGCCGCAGCTGGGGCGCGTAGCGACTTAGCGTCCACCGATTCGGTGGCACCGAATCGTGCATTGCAGCGGCGGCATGGCACAGCCTGGCGGCCGCGGCGGCCTGCATTCCACCGACGCCCTCTCTGCTCCCCCAACGCGGGGCCCTGCCATCCACTCGGGACGATTGGCCCGCGATCTTCCCTGACCGCGGGCGCTTTTTGACCGGCGACCAAAGGCGGCGCGCGGCCCCTGCAACGGGGGCGAAACCTCCCCAGGCGCCGCCGCGACAGCACCCAGGGTGTAAACCGCAATCGGAAAAGGAGGGACGAACGGAGGACGGGCGGGGTATGTCCGGCAGCCGAACCCCCTCGATGCTCGCACCACCAACGATGGCCAGTTACGCATCGACGCCCGCTCTCCGCAGCTTCCATCGGCCCCCCCTCTCTTCGATGGCGTTCAGTGGCGGGGTTCTCTGTCTTGCCAGCAACCTGAAAGGCGGCTATAAGACACGTCCTGGCGAACTTGTTGCTGCCCGGCCGGTCCCCGTTTCAGTCGTCGGCGTGCCCCACGGGGCGGCGAAGCAGGTCACACGTTAGTCATGGCCACTGTCGCAAAAAAGAACATCTGGGCCACTGTCGCAAAAACGAACAGTCCCGGGCACTGTCGCAAAAAGGAACAATCCACTGTCGCAAAAAAGAGTAGTTTGGCACTGTCGCAGAAAAGAACAATCCACTGTCGCAAAAAAA